AAAGAACTTTAGCAAACCAAAAATATTCTGCGCCCTATTCCGGTAAATTAGGTTAGCAGCTCAGCATTATGCTATGCCGGAAGTCGAGGCCCTAACACAGCGCTGATTTTCAGTGCTAACCTTCTAGCTTCATTATACTTCGATGCCTTACTGACCCATACACAGCAAAGTAATACTAATACCAATATTTAACTTATTAAAATTAATTATACAACAAAATAAAGTCTTTACAATATTAACGATAATTGACTATCACAACCATTAACAATATGGCGGATGGCGGATAATCTCTCCTACATGCAGTTGAAGTTGAATGATATTAATGGAAAATGAATATGTATATATATTGTATATATTACCAATAATAAACTAAAAGTAAAAAACAAAAATTGGATGTCGCTTTAAAAGTGTGTACAATAAGCAGGATCATTCTTTATTATCATAAATTACAAAACGAAGAGCAAAGTTTTGGGAAGTTAAATATGCTATAATAATTTCCATATGCCATATCATATATTTTTAGTAGCAATTTTTTTCAGCCAAAATGTTAACGAATTTGATCTACCACTGATCTGGTGCAATTTTCGATAGAAGGTTAGTCACTTTATAACTTATTTAATATCCCAGCTAAATTTGGATAAGATTTCCGATATAACAATAAAACACCTGATCTTTGAAAAAACTGCGCTGCAAAACGTCGCAAAAATTGGTAATAAGCCCCCCAAATTTATGAGCGGGCTCATCGTGGACCATTAACACGTAGTAGCGTTCTGCATAAAACATTAAAATGTCGCGACGCAGTTCCTGCATTGTTATTAACGGTCGCCCTGTATCAACAAATTTTCAATTATTCCGCTCTCTTATGGGTATCAGGTGTACGCTTTGCACGGGACTGGAATGTAATAGAATATAGAAGCAGTTTTGAGTTATTTTCACCTAAACGAATTGTATTGACCTGTGAACGTTACTATGGAATTTGCTGTAAATGTAATAAAGTTTATCATTTACTACTTTGATTAAGATGAAGATTTAATTATAATATATAGTTGTAGGTATATATTTACTAATGTGTACGTAAACTTGTGTTTGCTATTAAATTGTTTCATATAACTTATTGTCTTTATAAAGTTTGTGATTTATATACATCGAATTTAAGATATTTTATAAGATTATTTTTGTTATGTTATAATAGCGGTATAAGCTTCAATATACGAAGTTAGTGTACCCGCTAGTCCCCTTTAAAAAGTAATACGGTGAAAGATGTTTTTCATTAAATTTTGTTTGTTTAAATAAATATAAATATAAAGATTTAAAAAAAAAAACAGATTTTTCTTTCTAATGTCCGCTATAAAAGTAGATAATAAAACACATATTAGTCACTTTCCCGATCTTGTCTAAAGTTTAAGCGTTATATGTTTAAAACTATGAACTTGACTAAAACGTTATAGTCGAATTTGATTATTTTATTATGGTATGCGGTAATTTATTTCGCATTTTTACCAAATCCGGTCACGCCCCATTGTAATGAAGTGAGGCGTTTGTCACGGTAACAACCGTCGGGATCGCATTTGAGATCGCGATAAAAGAGGAATTTACTACCGCCCCAATAATAAGACGTAGTATATTTCTTGATTACGTGAGTGTCAACTAGTTTATTTAGAGTGCTATAAGATTAATTACATTTAATTACATAATATTCTTTTAAGTATTACTTAAAATGCGTTGTGTATTGCAAATTAAAGTTTTAAAAAATGTAATCTTTTCTGATTTCAACTATAAATTTCCGCTTTATAAAAAGGTTTTATTGTTTGCTATCTGGAGTATTGCAGGTACATATTCTCATTATTATATTAGACATAATATTATCTAGAGGGATAATGTAAAGTGTATATATAATATAATGAATTGTCAGTTCCGTAAATTTCAAAAATAATTCCTATTGGTTAAGTTAGGATAAGTTACATAAGTTAGGATGGAGCTAATGATCAAATAAATATGATAAGGTTATGTTCATGTTCTCTGTTTTAGTTTAGAAATAAAATATTGCATTTTAGCATAAAATTATCCCATTTTGTTTTTATGGAGGTTATACATAAAATAACACTTCTCCAGTGTGGAAATTAAAACCATCGGTGATTATATCCAATGAATATAGCCAATGATTACATCGTAGAAAGAGCGCAAGGAACGAATACGTGCAAAGTTCTAGATAGATCTAAAATGATTACACTTAAGTTTCAATTTAACGTCTATGCCAAATCGTTAAGGTTTGTCGTAACCTTTATCCTCAAGGTTTTAGATTCCAAACATCTTGTTAAAAATATAAATAAAATCCAGAACAAAAGCGGAATCTCGTCGGGAAATGCAAACGCCGCTCACACGCGGTGAAAACACATCCGACGGATTCTTCTATCGCAAATTGTATTTGAAATATCCAAAACGTGAGATGAAAGCGAGCTGGCCGAATCTGGATAATGCAAATACAGGGCAGAGGAGCCCGATGCGCTTTGCAACTCTTTTGATGGCGGGCGGGCCCCCGAATAACATTTCGCTTTATCAAATACCTGGTTACATAGCGGGTGGAGGGATCCGACTCATTTTATAGCGCCCACAAACGCTTCTGACGGAATCGCCGCGTGAAATCTCGACGGGAATTGAAATTTTAATTGTGCTTTTCGCGACGGGTCGCATATGAATAATCAAATTACATTTTTAACTCGCAAAGGCGAATTTATGAAATTAAATCATTAGCGATGCGTAAAGTAACGAATTCTTAATTTTTTTATTTAACGATTATTCATATCGATCATTGGATGAATATAGCAGATATATTATTGCAAGAGATCAGAGAGGGACACAGGAAATTAATGATAGTTATGGAACGAAACGGGATTATGAAAGATTTATCAGATTATAAAAAATAAATAATATTTATTTACAGGTGGGAAGGGTTACGAGGAAGTTTAATTTGAAGATGTTTTGATGACGTAATTAAAGCTATATATTGCAAAAAACAGAGCATAACTCTGTTTTTTGCAATATATAGCATTTTAATAAAACATTTCCATCAACAACTGAATCGAGCGTTAAATTGAATTATTTCTTGTGGTGCTCCGTATACAATCGATAAAAAACATTACAACGGGCACTAAAACGACGTAATTCTAGAAAAAATGTGCTTTAACGCTTTTATAAAGCAGCTATTAGCTATAAAATTCGTTTCAGTATAATAAATAATACGGCGATTTCCGACACGGCAATGTTTTATTCAGGTACGTGTTAACGGTGGCGATGAAACTCATAATAACTATAGTTTTGGATATGGGTATAGTTGTTGGCAATTAAAAAGACGTGTTGTGTTTTATTTAAGTTTCCATTTTAATTGGCAACATTTTAATTCCTTATTGACGAATATTGTTATACTTTTTTAAACATAACGTTTAATACATCTATAGTCATCGAAAAAACGAACATTTAATATAATTTCGTTAAATCCGCTTTCTGAGCTTGAAAATGATTTTAAAAAATGCATTTCATCCGGTCAAAGGAATTAAGAATTAAAATTAAAAGAGAAAACACTGCAGCGCAGGTCTCGTCAATGGTGCATTTAATCAAAACGAAACGTATTGTTTCCCGGCGGCCGAGCACTTTTCAAAATTAATTTGATTGTTTTATATCTGAAAATGTGATGAAGTATTGCCCGACGTATGACTGTTGCGTTTATAGCGAGCACAATACGAGTAATCCGCTCGTGTCACTGCACAAAAGCAATAACGGCGATGGAAACTAGCACTCGTTAAGCAGCCTTTGTAAGTGTATTGAAAACGCCGCGCAGTAATGTCCGTTGTTATTCATTGCGGGTAGCGTTTTTTTTTTCGCTGTGTCGTCACTGCCTTTCCCTTTGCGTGCACATATTCCCATATATGTTGTCTAAAATATTTACTATAAGAACTTTTATAGATTATTTCGTAGATAACCAAAAGACAGTCATGACTGAAACTATTTTCTTAGTTCAGAAGCTATTCGAAACTAGGGAATACCGTAGTACTATAATTAATATATTACGACCTTATTATATTTGCTGTGGTACAGCCATGCAGTAGCTTCGACTGTTGCACGAATGGGCAGGCTCATTCGGGGAAGTACCACGGTGAGGTAATAGGTGACCACTTCTTTAATGTTGGCAACGCACCTGCGACCCGTCAGGCCTTGTAGATGTCTTGTAGAAAAACGTGAAAAACGTGGGTTCGATTCCCACAGCGGCGACAATCTTTTCGCACTTTTTCTACATATTTTAATGTTCAATCTTAAGTGCAAAGATTAGCACTATAAACAATTTAAATTTCTAAATTAGCAATGGCGACATCTCTCGTTCGAATTATCGTTGTAAAACGATATTCGAAATTGTTTGTATGCTGGAAAGGATAAAACAATAGATGGCGCCAAGCATTGCTTCAAATGCTAAGAAAACAATGTGGAAGAATGCGTTAAGATTTTCGTCGGTGTGGCAATCAGCCGTTTAGCTCAGTGGCTGGAGAGCGTCAGGCCGCGAATGCCGAAGACGTGGGTTCGATTCCCACAGCGGCGACAACCTTTTCGCACTTTTTCTACATATTTTAATGTTCAATCTTAAGTGCAAAGATTAGCACTATAAACAATTTAAATTTCTTTTCTGTACCATTCATTAGATTTAATTTAGCTGATTCCGCATACCCTTAGCAGTCTTCTAGTCTAAGTTTAACTAATACTTAGTATATTTTACACTTATGATCCTACTATTCTCGTATATTTATGAATGCAATTTGAATATTGAAGATGAATGCGTGGATTGTTGCTATCTAAAATAGAGGAACTGGAAATGACAACCTCCCATTGCTTTGTGAGTGGTGCCTCTATTCATATACAAATTATTTGTGTAAAATGCCAAGTCGTCTAACTCAGGCACTAGGAGTCCATGAGCTCACGAGTGGCCAATAAATAACAAATCAGTCACAAGCATAATGGGACCATTCCTCAGCGCCAAGAAGTTAAAGTTGGCTGTAGTTCAAGCAAAGTTCCTTGTCGAGGTATCGGTTCCAGCTATGTAAGTAGAGGCCTAATTTGTATGTTGTTTTTCTTAATTTTTATTTCGGCAATTGTCAATTATAATTTTATTCTATTATTGTAATATAATATGATAACAAAATGTATATACTCACTTTATTTCATATTTAATATTATTAATTCTAATATTATTTTTTAAATTATAATTTAAATTTAATTTTATTGCTACTGCATCATGGTAAGCTAGCTTCGGAACCATTTTTACACCTTTGTATAACGTTTATACATAAAAATTATTGCCGATGCAAATAAGAAGTCGTTTTTTTAAATAAAAAATATGAAATTTTTTCAAGTCGTGTAAATTGGGTCAAAAACATTAAACTGTGCAAATTCTTCAATGCAAAACGTTAAAATTTTAGCCAACGGGTAAGTTGGAATTATTTTTTTTAGCCAACGTTGCCTAAAATTTCATTTAAAATAATAAAAAACTTAATTTGTAGAAGGTTGTAGAAGCTACTTACTGCATAAGATTCGTTCGCACATTCGGAGATGAAATATTCAACCAAATACATTGAGGCCGGACCCCGTTCCCGTATATTCCGCGATACCGGATGAAACTGAAAATTGTTACAACGGTGCCGCGCCGTTCGAAAAAAATTATATTATTTATATTAAAATGAAAATTTGAATTTGTTTGTGATATTTGAATGCAAAATTGTTTTGGCATTTCGACCTGACGAAAAGTTGTTATACTATTAGTTTTTCACTAAATGAAACGGTTGTATTTATGAAATTATGTCAGTGTTTTATTCGTTTATGTTTGACTATGAGCATTGCTGTGTGTTTTTAAAAGGTTTTGATGATTGGGTAGCGCAGTTGCTAAGCTATTGGTTTCGGCGCCGGGGGTCGTGTGTTCGATTTCCACACGGGACAAGCATTTGTGTGACCCACATATAATACCCCGGATCAGGGTGTTTGTTCCCAAGGTGGGTTGACGTCAGGCAGGCAGCCAGTCGTAATAAAAATAGCTAAAACCACTTGCAACATGATTAGTTAACACACTCAGAAAACTAATTGATCTGTCAAGGTTAAATACATTGCAAACATGTTTCTTTGTCAAATAACGGTACAAAACAAAGTTGTTGAGTTTCTTTCGCCGGTTCTTGTCGGGCATTACTAACCGGTGGTAGTGTTTTGACAATCAATAAGTAAGTGTAATACTTCTATAATGAATAAAGATATTTGAATTTGAATTATCAAGATGTGCCGACATGATATGACATGGTATGGGCACATTATGAGAAGGTATGAAAGTCATGTGACTAGAAGAGTGATGAAAATGAATGTGGTTGGGGGGTGTGAAGCTAGAGGAAAACCGATAAAGATTTGGATTGACTGTGTGAAGAATGATATGCCTTTGAAAGAGGTGAGTATTGAGATACCCCCACCCCCCCTAATGTGTATAAGGGTAGGAGAAAGAAGAAGATTTTATGTCAACCCCACCTAGGCAGGAAGATGATGTTGTATTTTGATAAAACGTGTTTATATTGGTAAGTACCAGCTTCAGATGTGCTGCACCGAATTTGACACATAAGAACATTTCCAACAAAAAGAATACCATTTTAGGTTTCACGGTAATTATGATGTAAATTAAAATATATAAAACTAACTAATAATAGAAATGTTAACGGTGGTAGGGCCACGCAGTAGCCTCGGCTGTTGTACGAATGGGCTGGCCCGTCCGGGTAAGTACCACGACCTCTCAGAAGGCCAGCGTAAAGTGGAATTATAACAAATACACTTAACGTAAAGTGATGCATTAAAAAAGTTATGTTCATAAACTGCAAAGTGATGCATTAAAAATCTCTGCAGAATTTAAAAATGAAATATCAGATAAAAATGAGCAGTGATTAAACTAACTAAGGTTAAAATTCTTCGATGACATGAAAAGAATCTCAGACTTGTTTTAATCGCTAGTGATTATGCTGTACCTACCTTGTTCGAAATGAAAAAAAAAAAATATATGTAATGTTTAGGAACAAATGATGAATCTATTGATTCTAGATTCAATATATGGCTATATAATAAAATAATAGCTTAGCGAGCCGTGAAAGCTCATGGGTCCACGGGCTCGCCTATAATTCAATATACTCTAGTAACCTGAGTTCGACCCCGGTGCTGGCACGAATGAAATTGTTAATTTTAAGTTCTTTGCTTTTCACTGCTTTTCACTTGCTCAGCGGTTCAGGAAAGTATTGTGAGGAAATTTGCATATTTTCGAAATGATAACAAAAAACTTTCGAAAATATCTTAAGTCCATCAATCCTCAGTGGGTTAACCCACTTAACCCCTAACACCCTCTGCACAGATGAGGCCTTTGCCCAACAATGGAACATATATGTTTACATACTTTACTGTTTTATTTTTTACTATAGTTTTTTTAACGATAGATTATGGAATGCGAGTAATCTCGTTAAACGAAACCCAAGAATGGAATTCCCCGTAAGGCGGCGGTACTTCTCCGGAAAAGCCTATTTATTCAGATTTGGGTTATTTCCCAAGGTTTTGTTTTAAAAAAAAAGTCAATGGATAAATCCAGGATATTTTTAAATATTGTGAAATTTTTTATAGATTACGAGCGCATTTCATCCTTTTCATACACACACAAGGTATCTCCTCCTCGCACATCGGAGAATTGATGAGAAATTTAAATAAGCTTGCGCTCGAGATTAAATCACAGCGATGAAAAATCAGCTTCAGCTACGACCTGGCATTGTCTGCCATCGCCTGCAAACGTGCGCGGTGATCCGCTGAAATTGAAATTTAAGACTTTATGAAAGCATCTATCCGGCGGCGAAAGTTTCGCATCGCGCAGCAAAGTATTAACCGCAGCGACCTGAGAATTCTCATCGCGAATACAAACATTATAACTTATGATGCAAGAAATATAACAAATGTTTTTGTTATATAAACTCTTAGGTTTTTTCCCTACAATGAGATGGCCATGGTCTTTTTCTACATATTTTAATAGCCATGGTCTGTTAGCGCAGTTAAATCAGTTAAATCTTCCGTGTAGTGCCGGCGAAAGAATAAGATACCCCATATCATCCCGTGGGTGTCTTATGGGACAAGGCCTAAACATTTAGTGGCCACCGATAGACGGCGGGATAACCATCTCGACTCTCCAGACCCTAAATATTCAGGCCAATAACGGGCAACAGCGTTAAAGGTGCGAGGAGTCTGAAGGAACTGCGGATGCCAGCCCGCTTTCCAGGCGTGGCAACTATGGCCAAACCCCCCCCCCCCCTTCTGTGGGGGAGGCCTATGTTCAGCAGTGGACTCAAACAAGCTGAAATGATGATGATGATGAAAGTAGTGGTTTGTGGGTTTGATTGCCACAGTGCTCGTTCTTCTCAAACCGTGCCTTAAGTCAAAATTCATTTGAGTAAAAGCACCCAAAACAGAATTTAATTTTCTAAATAAAATTTAAAAACGAACACTAAGATTTAGTATCATGCAGTACAAAATGTTCAAACGAACGCAGCCATCTTTAAGTTTCACTCGTTTTTACCCACTTGCAACCTCTCGCAGTCAGAATGACGTCATTGGTTCGATGCGCACCCTACCACTAGGTAATTTCTAAGAGCGTAAGTAAAAAGAGCGGGCACTTATACACTCATTTTCACGCACGTTCACCCTTCCAAGTTTAGTAGAAGTCTAGCGGCTATGTGTAATATTTTATGTACTTTTCTGCGCTATGGGGAGCAGAAATCTATTAGGACAATTGATTTTAATTTTTTTTATTTGACAGGTAGAAACTTGCGTTTAGTTTCTTGTCGTTATCCCTAAATGATGATATAATATATAGGACGCCCCCCACTAGATGGAGTGAAGAACTGTGCAAATATGCGGGTCGACGGATGTAGGTGGTTCAGGAACATGCTTGGTGGCAGTCTGTAGAGGAGACATATTGTCCATCAATGGACTAAAACAGGCTGCAATGATTATGAAGATTGATAAAATTTTATATATATACTTTAAGAAGCTTTTATAATAAATTTATTTATTTTTTTAACAAGCCTTACCAAATTTAAATTGTTTATAGTGCTAATCTTTGCACTTAAGATTGAACATTAAAATATGTAGAAAAAGTGCGAAAAGTTTAAAGCCTTACCAAATAAATACATATAGAAACAATTGTTATGAGCTGCACTTAAAAATTAAGTTAAACATGGTATATATGCATTTAAATTAAAGGTACACACAACATATAAACAATTTTCTGGAAAGAACTTTCGTGAACATAGTAAATGTAATTTGGTTTAATAATAGAAATAAGGAAATTACCTAATCGACGAAACTACTCATAGAAACACTTTTTATATTAAGAATGTTTTCCTTGTATTAGCATAGGTTCCTGCTCTAATGGTGATGCCATAATTCCCCATTGCCTACTCTTCTCGGTATAGATATTACTGCGGCAACCGAAATTGGCGCTAGATCTGGCTTTGTAAAGACATGCTTTGATATTCACAATGCGTATCCAATTTAAGCTACGTCCGATTGCGGACCATCCGACTTGCATCATGGATTAATATCAAATCTGTACGGAATCTTAGCGGCTGTACAGCCACAGAGGGTTTCAAACATTGGTGTACTTGATAGTTTAAGCCAAAAGCTAATTAAGACCTTATTGTAGCTACTTATTTGTATTTAAATAGACAATTTTTAATGTAATTAAAAAATAGAGTAAAACATTAATCATGCTATCATTACAGTTCGTCGTATATTAATTACTAGCGACCCGCCCCGGCTTTGTACGGGTGCAATGCTGAATATTTGTTTTCGACATCGCATTAGAAACCTCTCTTTCCCTATATTATGCATGAATAATACATATAAACTTTCCTCTTGGATCACTCTATCTATTAAAGAAAACCGTATCTAAATCCGTTGTGTAGTTTTAAAGATCTAAGCATATATAAGGACAGACAGACAGACGACTTTTTTTTTTTAATGTGAAATGTTGCCAAACGAGCAAGATCTTACAGGACAAATAAAGTAAAAAATATTTTGGTACTAACAATATAAATTTGCCCATATCTTTTGATCGTGTCGACTAAGGGCCTTGATTTTTATACACCTTATAGGGACTATAGACCTAAGTATCTGGTATAATTTCAGGCTATCTTGGTCTTGACTTAAAGATCAAGAAAAACTTGACAAAGGGTAGACTTGGTCGTAACTTGCTAGGCCCATCCGTTCTATAGAAAATAGGGGGTGAAACACGGACAGATAGACGGACAAGAGAGTGACCTAGGGTTTCTTGTTTACCTTTTAAGATACGGACCCTAAAAATAACATTTTTGTATGTGAAAAGTTGCCAAGCGAGCAGGCGGTTCACTGATGTCAAGTGAATACCGCCGCCCATGGACATCTGCTACACCAGAGGGTTTGCAGATGCGTTGACAACCTTTTTGGAAATTGGGCTCCAGCTACCTCACTCACCAGACGAAACGCGAAAGTATTTGTCATACTTCCACTTTACGCTGGTCTTCTGTGAGGTCGTGGTACTTACCCGGACGGGCTTACCCATTCGTGCAACAGCCGAGGCTGCTGCGTGGCTTTACCACCGTTAATGTTACCTACCGTTTTATACTATGTAGTGATAGTGAGACTAAAATATTTTGGCGAAAATGTTTATTTATTGTTCATTAATAAATCATTCTCATCTATATATCGTTCATTTAGTTTCATTAATAAATAAATCGGATTAAATAAGGGGTTTCTATACATCGACCATCTTCGAAGTTGTTCAAAATATTCTTAAAACGGATGAACAAGGCTTGTAAGGCTCATCTTCAGATTATCTTTACGCCATGCTTAAATTTTATTAACTTATTTTTTCGGCGAAGCTAAATTGACCTTTTTCCTGTGTTCAAAACGTGAAACTTAATTGGATAGCTTTCTTGCAAAATAAAAATAGTAGTGGACAGGGTTGCACAAATATGTTTTCTACTTGATGAACTACACACATTCGCAAATTAACTATAGTGCATGATTAAGTACAGGTAATTAAGCATTCCGTCTCAAATTTGCAACCGCGCTCAAGCCATTAATTATAATATGCATAACTATTAAAGTCTGTGTTAGCAAATCTGCAGCGATCTTTAAGTAGACTATCAATGGTGTATGAGAAAAGTTAATATCTTAAATCTTAGTCATCAGCCAATTGATCTATTATACGAGTACACTCATCAAAAAAGCCTAAATAGTACTAATATTTCGAGGCGACGGTGTTTTTCGGTCATCAGGCACACTTACGTTTTTTTGTGAGAAGGAGGCAAGTGAGCTGGCGTTTCACCTGATGTTAGCGCCGTCTGCGGACTGTTATAATATTGAGTGATAAAGAGACCTATGCATTAGCATACGAACTTGAACTTGATTTTAGACTGTGGTAGGGCCACGCAACACGTTCTGCTGTTGCACGAATGGACAGGCTCTTCCAGGGAAGGGTCACGGTCGCACAGAAGACCGGTGTGATGTGAAAGTGCTGTACTTTCGCTTTTCGTCTGATAAATGAGATAGCTGGAGCACACTGTTTAAAAGTTGGTAACGCATCTGTAATCATTTAACATGAGGTTAACCACCGCCTATTCGCTTGCAAACTTATCTCAACAAAAAAATATATATTTATACTATTTTGAATGGTGAATTTATTGGCGACAGAATATCATACAACCAAACTTTACAAATTTTATTTGAAAGCGTTCGAAACTTTTGCCAATTAAAAGTAAATGCGACAAAATACTGTTTTTGAAGAAACCACATATGTTTTTCTAACATACTATACCTAAGATGGTCCTTACTTTTTAAATTTAATTTTTAATTAAAAGATCTCATTAGTAGACGCATAAACAACAAAAGGAATGAATTATTTGCCTAACGCGAACGCTCAAAAAGTGCAAGCGAGCATTAGACTCCTGAATTAGTGTTTTGATAGTCATTATTGCAGTCTACGTCATTCACTGCTCAGTGCAGACAATTCTCAATTAAAATCGGAAGGCATTGAACGGAGCGTGGGATAACTACTCTTAATAGAATAGCGTCGAAGGTGAGTGCCAAACGTATTGATTTCTGACATTCGTTTGTAGTGGCTCGAGTGGTATTGGACAAGCCTTTATTACATCTGCCCGATGTTATAGCAACATATCCATCACTGTTTTGTTATCGAATGAAATGTGTACGACTCATAGAGACCTTTGGATTTTTTATCGATAGTTTTCGAGGGAGTTTTCATTGTGAAAAGGATGCATGTGCTCATTTCGCTAAGATCGTTGCTGCTTGTACCGAATTGATTTTTAATCTATTATGTACAATAATTAATTTACAGCGGTATTGATGTTAACCATAATACCTGTATATTTTTTCCACGAGGCACGAAACTATTATTATAATTCTAGTCCTCTAGTTTAATATCCGAATAAAAACAGATGTTTTAAATTTAACTCCGTGTATTTTAAAGTCCGTTCTGCGTGCATTATAAAGTCCGTTTACCATGGCACCACGGGTGAAATTTTCATGGCTCCAACGAAGTCATTACCCCTGCAGCTCGGCAGTTCCCGGGTGAAGAGAGCAAAGAATAAGCGATAAAAAACAAGGCACTTGATGCACGAGACAGACAGCCCTCCAGACAATGGGGCGCACTTAATGCCCGTATCATGTACACGCCTCGCCGTGTGATGCAGATGTTCACGTAATTAGCCGCTCCCCTACCAACTAAGTTAAGTTCTAGTTAATGAGTGGCGTCCTTATTGAGGATATGTAAAACTGCATTCCCTTCTGACTATTATTTATTCTTTGATATTGTGATACTCAGGTTGTACACATCTATATTTAGTATTCGCGATTGATTTCGTTTGAGTTAGCTTGCTTAATACTTCCCAGGAAATGTTAGCTATATTCATTATCATTAACTTACTAATATTTGTTCTAAAGACAGAAAAATAAATAATAAAATCTGAAAAAGTTAGCAAAACAATCTTATTTATCGGAGAGACCTAAGTGATTGGCGGTATAACGAAAAAGAATTTTAAATGTGCCAGAGATCTAGTAAATTACAGCTCCTTTTTCTGCAACACAATGGATAGGGTTTTTCATTTATCTAAGATGTAACAAAAGGAAAAATCTGAAGATCGCCCGCTATCTTGACAGTTTGAATTAAAAGGAAAGGAGACTGACTTATACGTGGGCACGTATCCATTTAAGAGCTGTGGAAATGAGGCCATGCGACTCAAAGGCACGTATTTGGTATGGTGAAATGGCTCTGAGTGGTGAGATATAAAGCGGAGGGATAAATATATTTTTTACGTGGTGGTTTACCTTTTTATCTAAAAATTCATCGTAAGCGATACGAACATATAGAA